AGATCGCGAGGTCTGGTGGACGCAGCTGGACATTGAGATGGAGCAAGCGGCCACCTCGGGGAATTTCCGTAAGCTTTTATTCCTGATCCGATCTACTGGCGGCAAAAAGCCGACTGCAAGGGAAGTTTTATGCGAAACCACTGGTGAGCCAATCTGCTGTCAAAAAGGCCGACTAGAGCGTCAGGCCGAGCACTTTGAGCAGCAATTTAATTGGCCAGCAGCACCAATGAGTTCCCATGCTGGAGTCTAGAGCGCTCCCTGGTGTGTAGACGCTTTACCACCATCCGTACATGTTCGTAACAAAAAAACTCAACCAACAAGCCCGTCGACATCAATACAATATACCAACCACTTCGACAGAAAGAAATAAAGAACATTTTGTCACGCGGGTTCAGGCAGTACAACTCGGACGTCGACTTCAGTCGTGGGGAAAGTGGGTAGAGGTCACAGGATGCAAATCAAGACTGACAACTTCAAAAGTCACCTGCAGGTCGAGCACGGATGGACGATTCACTCAGTAAGATTGCACGCCCTATCTCACTGTACTGTGAATGCCACCTCGCATGGTGGTGAAACGTTTGCAACAAAACCGTCAAGCTCGGGGAACAAACGAACAATTAAATCAACAACCCGTGGTACCAGTATTCCGAAACATTTTAAAAGACGTTAAACCCTTCTCCAATAAACACGGAAAAAACGATGAGACGCCTGCCACTCACTGGTCGGCGAAACTTCACGTATGAGTTGCACAACCTCCGAAACATTGCTTAAATGTATGTACACTAACGCCCAGGGCTCCTTAATAAACTTGCCGAATTTCGGTTACGTCAGGTTGCGAATGCTTGGGACCTAATTTCCACTACCGAAACTTGGTTACACCAAGAGGTGACTGATGCTTAGGTTGAGATAGCCGGAATGTCATTCATCCGGAACGACCGTCCCAGCAGAGGAGGTGGGGTCCCACTCTACTACCGCAGCGAGCTGCAATGTGCAATAGTTGATGATCTGGAAACTCATGTTAACGACTCACTCTGTTGCCGTCTCCGGCCAAGACAACGATGCATGTCTCGCAGCTGCCGTTTACCGCCCCCCAACATCCACTCCGGAAATGGATTCCCGCTTGACACGTGTCCTGAACAGTAACAAGCACTATGTACAGCCACATTCGCATCTCGACGGACTACAATCACACGATCTGGAGGTACCAGCATCACCCAGTGAACAGTCCAAAGCAGATTTGCATGGACTGACCGCTAATATTCCCTTGTACACTCATGTCACCACCCCCAATAGGTTCAGGACAGCAAACAAACCGTATAGAGTGGACCTTGTGCTCACGAATGAAGAGCTCATGGTTGACAAGTTATTGATGCATAGTTCATTAGGTCTCAGTGACCATGCAGTGATAGGGTTCAACTATGTGTGTTATGCAGAGTATCCAACTGAACATTCGGGACTAATTGATACAAGCAAATGCTACCACGTATTGAAAGAACTCATCGACGCATCTGCTTGGGAATTCTCAAACAACAGTCCCTTTGCCAAGGTTTGGACAGAGTTCGTTGATAAACTCAGCGACATCGTCAACAAAGCATCAGAGACCAAGCACCTACATCCCGCAAAAATGCCTTCAATTCTAGGGAGCAGAACTCGAAAATGCCTGGCGATAAGAAATGGAGCATGGCGTAACCATAAGGTTAACGTCGCCTCAGAGACTTGGGACAATTTTCTGACCCATTGTAACTATTGCACTTGTCAGTGAGGTCAAAGTAAGTTATCTACAGTGCCTAGCCAAAAAATTCCTGGCAAACAACAAACTGCTACATAGGCATGTCCATAGTCTTCGTAAAGTGAAGCAGGGAATCCCTCCAGTTTTCACGACAGGCAGTAGAGTATAAAGCGCCGAAGAAGCAGCTAATGCCCTGCGGTTACAATACGCCCCAATTTTCGAACTCGCAGCCTCTACCTATCCCATAATGTTACATTACTTACACATTACTTACTCCACTGTTTACACAAGTAATTTTCACCTCATCAATTGTTTTAAGAAAGTTACTTTCACTGCGCGATCATAGTTCTCCGGGAGCAGATAACATCCGGCCGAAGGCACTGAAGGCTGTGGCCAACAAGCTAGATGAAACACTGTCACATTTTTTCCAAAGGTGCTTTGATGAACAACAAGTCCCCACTATGTGGATGTGTGGCATTATCACCCCTATTTTTAAAGGCAGTAGCCGTTCAGAGCCTGCTCAGTGACTCTCCTCCCTGTGCTCGCAAAGGTGATGGAAGCGGCCGTCGCTGAAACTTTAATGAACTACCTGGAAAAATGCAACATCTTGGCACCGGAGCTGCATGGCTTCCGTCAACACCGGTCATGCACCATCAACCAACTGATTGCATGAGGTAGTTGGACGGAAGTGGCGAATGATGGGGTCGGAATTGACGTCATCTATCTGGACTTCTCCAAAGCTTTCGACCGCCTGGATCATCGCATCCTACTTCAACGGCTTCAGTGCTACGGAATCGGAGATCTTGTACTTGGTTGGATTGGAAGCTTCCTTCACCAACGGAAGCATTAAGTACGCGTTAGGGGATCACTCTCTAACCCGATTGAGGTGGAATGTGGTGTCCCACAAGGCTCAGTGCTGGGACCGCGCTTATTCTTGGTGTTTATCAACAAGTTTGCAAGAGTTATCTCCTCAAATTTCCTGCTTCTCGCCGATGATGTCAAGATATTGCGGGCGATTAGTAACAATGAAGATCACGATCTGCTCCAACATAACTTAGATTGCATTTATAAATGATCAACGAGGAACCTGCTTCAAATGAACATAGCTAAGTGCAAGGTGATACATCTGCGTCACCAGACGGTGAGCGCTTACAAGCCTGGAGACCATACCTTGCAGAAGGTCTCTCAGACGCGTGACCTGGGTGTATTGGTACAGGAAGATCTCGGGTGTTCAAAACAAGCAGCGAAGATGACGAGAACCGGCAATCAACATTTCGGTTTTCTTCGCAGAGCATTCGGTCGGTTTGAAGCCTTAATCTTTCCCCAAATGCTTAACGCCTACTTGCGACCGCACGTGGAATATGCTATCCAGATGTGGCAATCGCGGCATAAAGGATCTCGTTGCTCTCGAGACTTTAAGGAAGGGCGACCAAGAACGTCGGGGGCCTCTTTCATCTGCCTTACCAGCTTAGACTGAAATCTCTAAGAATGCACAGCAATCGATATCGGTTCACAATGGTTTACCAGATTCTGAAGAACCTAAACGACATTTGCCGCCCGCTGCTGGAGTTGGACCACAATACTAACCTAAGAGGCCATTTCCTGAAACTGAATACAGTATAGTCAACTTGAATGCCGTAGAAATATCTGATCCCTCCGAGTGTGCCAACCATGGAACACCCTCGCTAATTATGTCGTCACTGCTCCCAATCTGGCAATATTTAAAAAACGAGTTGACCACGCGTTGTCTTATTTGCATTTCATTTTATGACTTGTTAGCCAGGGGCTAGAAAAGGCAATCAAACGGTGTCTTATCAAGCACCCAACCAATGGATTTATACGTTTAATACGCGAACATTTCCGCTGTTCTACATAACTCGATGGTGAGTCCACCGAGACGCTTTTCACTTTATTACGCAAGTTAATTTTCATAATAATTTCCATCCCACGAGACTTGTTAAGTACTGCTTTTTTACCCGTAATACACAATTGTTCCATTGTTATGATTAAACTAAACTAATCCTAGTTTCATTTGCATAGTGTGCACGAAACGACCAGTGAGTGACGCACGATGAGAAGACGCAACTCCGAGGCAGCAATGGCGCGAGCGAACGTTATCGACACAGAAAGAGCTCTTTACCAAGCTTGGGTTCGTAGACGGCAAAACCACTTACGAAGCTCCTGAAGTCGCAGATGTCAAGGAGAGGATGGCAAGATACATTATGATTGCCTACAAGTGAGAAGGTATCATTACTCCGCGCAAATGTGGAGGAAACAACAGGGAGAGACTTACTTCCGAAGTACTGCAGCGCTTTGAAAAAGCATTGAACGGCATTTGGAGGACCCTTGGTGCAGATACAGTAGTGATCGAAATTGAACGCGAACCAACTTCATATTTGCAAAGTCTTCAACACCCTTAAACAGTTAAACATTACGCTACTACGCCACTACGGGCTAAACCGCGTCAACAGTTCCATGACAACCACAAGCCGGCAAGATTAGGTACTCGACTTCTTGGTACATGCGCCGAATGACGTGGAGAGATGCATCTTCAGATGAGAGCGGATAAAACCATCTGCGGCGGACGCATCATCATCATCATCATCATACACGTTAGCCAGAGGTGGGGAACACCTCAGCTACTGTGTCGCAATACATAGAAAAAAGGAGAAAAAAGCAACTGGTGCAAGCCGGCTGAGCTAGCAGTAATGGATGGGCATCGTTCCGGTAAGCTACCAGCCGGCTACTGTGCATCAAAAAATTACTATGCAAAATTATATAAGGCTAAATAATGAGATCGTGGTTGGAGGGGGCCTGCGGCGGACGCAGGCTCGCTGAAAAAGAGGGGAGCGCGCGAACGTCCTCCTGCCCACACTTAGAGGCCGTACGGTGACGCTGATTGTGGCAATGATAAACCAAGACATCGTTCGCACCAGGTTATCAACCATGTCAGCTGCAATGATGTAAGGTTATCGTTATTAGTCGAAGAATTTGCGGTGCGTATACGCCGCGGGGTGGAGATGAATGGTACATGGCTGATCGTGGACAACGCTAGGATTCACATGCCGAACGATCTAAGGGTGATCCAATCCAGTTCGGTTTGCAAATGAGAATGGCATATACGTAAAGAAATGTCTAAAATAAATCTGAAAGATCCATGGATAATGGATGACATCAAGCTGGAGTGCGTGATGCATTCCTAAGCCGTTTGGGATCCGCGTGCAAATTGAGTTGATCAAGGAAAAAAAGATGTAAGTTCGAGAAATAAAAATTACGGCGTACTTACTAAAAGTTTCCTTGCATCAGTAAGCGCCTTTCGTCGTATCTCAAATTTAGCAGCGTATAACCACATTTTCGCGAAAGTGAAGCGGCGGTGAGGAATAAGTTTCAGACAGAACCGATATACTTGACCAGCACGTTCCATATCGGCTACGTTGAGCTCTTCGTACAGCGCATAGTTTAACCAGAGGTAAATGTAACGCCTCCAATATCGTTTTTCCTGGGGTAAAGGAAAAAGCGAAATTGTGGTCGTAAACTGGAGCGGAACCACGTAAGCTTCAATAAGATCCGCCGTTCTTTAGCCTATGTGCTTCAATGAGCCTGTGTAAGTAAATTGGAAAGGAACCAAAGTTAACAAACGTACTAACGAGAGTATCTGGAAGACAGCCTCACAAACCGGTGAACACTGGCGTAAGTTCCATCATATTGTTTCCCATATCCCGCGGTAAGTATACTGGAAAGCAGGTATTCCCTAAGACCACTGAACAGATTATTGTGTCACGAATGGTAATGGTGACCTATGCGAATCGCCACAATAGTGAGTGACGGGCTAAGCGAACCGAACGGACACGCAACCAATGGACTAGCCACACAACGCCAGCGTGCTTGTGAATAAGTGGAACGACTTACAGCGCTTGCGTGAGAAACGTGGATACCGCTATCTGATCTGAGGAGTCTCCAAAGGGGGATAAGGAGGAACCTCAGTGATCAGGATATCAGCAAGAAATGAGCGGCTTTCGGTTGACGGCCTATATCACGAAACAAGAGCAAGAGTAAGGAAACTAGAGTGGGATGTTTTAATTTTGGGTGAAGTGCAAATAGCTGGTATGTGCGCGTTGCAAGATAATCCAGTACGAAGCGTGCTGCTAACGAGGAATTTCGGACCAATCACATTAAAGAATGTCCAAGTTAGTTCATGGCAAGTCACGGTAAGTAATGTACGAGAACGTATGCTCTATAAGGCTCATAACTCTAGGTATGAAAAAAGTCTGGACAGAGCACAGTGTGATCAACAGCTGACATGACATCGACATACATACACAGGCGACACGATGAGTTGGTGTGTGTGTGTGCGCGCGTTAATGTGTGGTGTCTATCCATCTGGGTGGATTAGGGTTTGACACAGTGTGTTGGCTAGCAGTTCGCTTTAGCGTACATGTACATGGCTTATCGATGCCCTAATCTGTGGTAGTTCGGAGTGCTGAAGACGTACATGAAAACGATATACGTTTACTGGCTCTACTTGAGGATATTCCATATAGTCCATTTTTCATGCTTAATCGTGTAGATTTATGAAATAGGACTGTAACAACAATCTAAATAAGTATAGAATGAGGTAATATTGCATCACACTGAACGATACCGTCATGTACACATTGTATAGTTTATTTTATAATACAGGGAGAAGTGAATGACGATGTTCACGATTTGTTGTCCAAGAACAATGCAGAATATAAGTAACTTGAAAATGCCCATTTAAGTCCCGAGAACGAAAGGTCATCTGATGAACAATTGCTTTCAATGATTCATCATCAGACCATAACAATCGTATGGAGGCTAAAAAATAAAAATTGACCCCGTTAGTTCAAAATGAATAGATCATGTGAAGGTTTATGTCAGATATGAGAAAACGAATTAGGTCTTAGTGGGCTAGTTGTCTGCTACCGCGTCTGACCGAAGGCAGTCGACCTGGGCGTCTTCCGTCATCGTTGGTCAGGGAAGCTGGAGAGGCTAGAACAGCTTCTTCTGTGAGCAGAATTTCCACATTAAAGACTCTAACGATGAAAAGTTCAAGATCTCAGAATTACTTCTCGGTCCGTTGCTATTTCTCATGTTGATAACTGACTTGGTCCCTCTACTTGAAGACCCCTCCTATATGTTTACTGACGACTTGAAGCTTGTCAGCAGGGGAGACAGGGCTTTGTTATCTGGAGATCATACTAGCGTTCTTAACTGGTCACATCTGTGGGACTTATCATTGAACACCAGCAAATGTCAAATCCTAACCCCGCGTGATGAAGAGTTTAACGTGCATACATCTAATGAATCCCTAACACTGCAGCATGTCACCGAGGTACGAGATCTAGGTGTCATCGTGACGAGTGACTATAAGCCCTCGGCGCAGTGCAGGCATGCAGCTAAGAAAGCGCGACAGGAATTATTTCGTCTCAGGAGAGTTCTAACAAGCCAGAGGGCTTTCTTCCCTTGTTCAAACCTGCGGTCAGACCACATCTGGAATACTGTGTTCAAGCAGAAAGATATTATTTGTACTGAGAAAGTGCAAAGACTGGCCACGCAAATGATAGAACGCCAGCGCGGGTTACCATATGAAGATCGGTTAACTAACTTGGGTTCGTTCTCAATGAGAAGACGCAAATTAAGAGGTGACTTAATAGAGACGTTCAAAATCATGTAAGGTCTCAGTGGTCGCAGGCCAACCGATCTGTTTGAACCAACTACATCAGACAATTTGCGGGGCCATTGCATGCAATTGAAGCATCATAGACCTAGGCTGGAGTTCAGAGTCCGGTTCTATGCAAACCGGATTGTGTCTGTTGGGAATAAACTTCCTTCCGCTCTATTAGCATGCGAAACTGTGGACGGATTTAAACGTAGCCTAGACGAACAATGGCTGACCCTGTTTCCCGAATTTTCTTGAGCTTCAGTGACTGGCCCTAATCTCACTATTTCGTGATAGTGTGTTGTTTGTCTCGCACTTGCTTCTGCTTTCTCGCCATTATAGAATCAAGAATATCCTATCAAGTCCCAGTGCTGGGGGCTGATTTTCGTTTACTGGCACAGGAAACGGGGCGCTCGTTAAGTGGAAGCTCGTTGCGTCCCCGGATCCTGTACTGTCCTGTTCATATCAAAAGCGTTAACTGAAATTGGAGCATTTCTATAGAAAGGAAGGTAATCGGGGAATCAACCGTTTATTTATTTATTTATAAGTAACTCATGACTCACAAGAAGCGAGACAACTTGTGGACTCTTCCAAATGTACATTTAAGGCGTTTCTGTTGCATGATGGACAAAATAATCCGTCGATTTCAAGAGCACTTGTTGTCCACATGAAAGATATGTATGAAACTTGAAGTAGTTATTGAACGATATCGAGTATAACAAGTACGGCTGGCGTCTCTGTGGTGATTTGAAGATAGTTGCCATTTTAATGGGATTACACTTGGGATACACACAAAAAATATTGCCGGTTCTCGTGCAAGTGGAATAGCCGAGCAAGGAATTTGCACTATTAGCAGACACCAGTTGGAGAGAGAATAATATCCATCATCCAGCTCTGGCCCAGGTTCACAGAACCCTGTTACCACCCCCCTACACATCAAAACAGGTTTGATGAAGAACTTCGCGAAAGCCATGAACCGGAAATCCCCAGTGTTCCGATACCTACATGAAAAATTTCTTCGACTCAACGAAGCAAAGAGGGAGTTTGCGTGAGTCTTCAGATTCAACAGCTATTCAAAGATGACCACTTCAACAAGTTGTTGTAGAGCGTTTTTCATCCGCTGTATACTAACATGCTCGGAAATGTTTGGACACAGAAATTTAAGCAACTAGTAGAAGACATGCTGAAGCAGTATTAAAAAGCGACAGGCTTGCCGAACAACCTCATTGTGGTGCTAACTGGGCGGTTCGGGATTTTCCCCTTCCAGCAAATGGTTCGGCGACAGTGTTCCAAGACGTGGTGGGTTTTCGCCGAGCAAACGTTCTCCCTATAAAAAGCCACATATATCCGTTTAACAACCCTCTGATGTGGCAGACGTGACTCGCACCAAATAAAGTCACCGCCCCTTGCTTCATCCTAGCGAAGCATTGTATTCCAGCAAATTTATGGTGTAAGTCTGGGAAGCATTGGGTCCCTGCTTGACAAATGAACAAACGAAAGGCATATGAACTGAGCAATCAGCCACCGGCTCCCAATGGGCGTGATTCCCTGAATTCGCTCCGCTGCTATGCGGGTAGGTTATTCAGCCAAAGGCTCGGGTTGGTGTTCCCTACTTCGGCTTGGGCAACCGGGTAGTATCTCGCCCTCTGACGAAACCAAGGATTTTGATGTGTTTTCTTTTACTATTTCTGTACCTTCTTTAGAGTCCCATGGTTTTTGATGGCTCTATGTCTATTCGTAGACTGTCGTATACATATATATATATATATATATATATATATATATATATATATATATATATATGCTGAGGCTGAAGTTGCATTCTTGATGCTTCTTCACCGCAGTTGGGCTAAACCAACTTACACTTAAACTAGGTCTCTTTAAGCTGCATAAATTTCATTCCAGTTTATTTGGATAGTTTTGCCTATCTGAATTGTCTTCTATTAACTGGCCACGTTGTTTCCGCTAATTTCGCTTGTCTTCGGTAATTTTGTTGCGTTTGTAGCATTTTTGAGTAACTTGCGGCCATATTTTTTCTTATCGCGGATTCATTGCTAACCATCTTACTTCATATGCTAATTTAGCGAAGAGTTATGCCACCGTATCTGTATGCATTATTGGATTTATTTTATTTCATTTTGTCGTTTCAAGTGATTGGCTGTTGTTTGATATCCCCGGTGAGGCTGCGCTTGATGTGCATGTTAACAAGGTGTCTACCTGTCTATTACCCACTACCTCGTCCATACTGGCTCTAGGAGACAGTTGATCGTTGCTGGAGGGGACAGGGTGCACGGTCCTTGTGGCCTTGTTAAGATCAAAGAGTGGTTCCATGCATTCAGTGTGGAGCGGACTACGGTCCAGCCACCGCTTTGTGTGCGCTTGATTCCCAAACACAGCGTGCTTGTGTTTGCTGTGGAGTGTGGGCCGGCACCGATGATGAAACGAGGCTCCCATCCACATGCCTCCCGGTCTTATTCTATCGGGTTTACACTGGATATGGGGTGTGTGGTTGGAGCTGTGGGTGGTGCAGCGCAAGCCACCCATGGTCCCTCTGTAGGCGCAGGCGTCCTGTGGCTTGCCACAGTGACAGGCAAATCCGAAACCGGATGCCGCCAACCATATATATATATATATATATATATATATATATATATATATATATATATATATTAAAAGCCGTCTTTATTACCATCTGAATTTCGCCCCTCACAACTACGGTGATGAACATGGCGAATGTTAAGATATCTCAGTGATGAAACAACGCTACCAGGGCAAATGGTCCACCATCTTATGATGGCTGACTAATGCTACAACACTCAGCAGAGACCCTCCCGAGAAACCGTACAAGAGACAGGTTAAAAAAAGTCCAGAGAGTAGCCTATAAGTACATTTTTCGCAGGTATCAACAATTGTCAGGCATTTGGTGAGGTAAATAATTATTGCGGATGATAAAAAAACTAGAGCCAATTTTGCATGACTGACATATTTGTATTCGGCACATAAACACTGATAGGAACTGACTAATTTTATTTTAGAAGGATGACTTTTATAAAAATTCGTTCTCTAGTGTTACAAAAGTATGTAGAAAGAACAGTGTAAGACCAACCTCTATGGGAGGCACATTAGCCACTGCTCGTTCGTATATCTCTCGTGTCTGATCCACAGATCCTTCTTCTTCCATCAAACGGACATAATCGAACCATACGTCGTAGTTGTGAGCATTCGCTTGCACTTCCTAAGAAGAAAGAAACGGAGTAAATCGCCCCTCTCCCTCACGAAACAAGCATCCTTTTCACAAGAATCGAATGGATACGGAGATACGGAATTTCACCCCAAGAAGAAAACGCCCGTGGTTATCTCACGTTCGTTAATATGATTAATGTTAAGAGGACTAATCCAACAACAATCCGTTTAAGTAAGGAAAAATCAGTTAATCAACTAAAATTCGAGTGTAGGAGTGCAGTATAAATAAAATTTAATGGAGAAGAACACAACATTGACATGTTTAGAGCATTCGCTATGTGGATACGCTATGACACGAAAGCTTCGTCTAGTGGATGGATCCATATGCAGTGAGGCCAGGTCGATTTGATAAGGGGACTGTGGCTGAAGCGGATAACAGCTAGGATAAAGTAAGCAACAAAAAGGATTAGAAAATGGTTCAACATACTCATATTTAGTATGGATGGCCACAATCAAGAGACTAAAAGAGAGAAGGCCAATAAGTCCGCAACTGTGTTGAGCTAAATACTGACTGTAATCAGCTATACTGCTGATCCTGATGTTCGCAAATTAGAAAAAGTGTAAGTGACAGCTTAGTCAAGCCTATCGGCCAATTCCGTCGTTTCTCTGCTACATCGTCCTAAATCAGCTATCTTGGTGGTCTAAACCAACACCGCGTTGTAGCGGCAAACAAGGTACGCTCAAGTAAGCGATCGACGCGCACACGGTTGACATAACCTAACCAGCACCAGTGGTTCTGACTAAGCACACTCCAGCGAGACACCAGACCATCGGACTTCAGAGAACCTCATTCCGCGCTCCCACCGTGGAGCACTAGTGGTCATGATTCCAACATGTTATGCGCGGCCTAGTTGTTACGACTTTCCAAGTCGGAACAAACGACACGGTTTTTCGGATAATATCCAACACACATGAAACGAAACTTAACCCTATGATGCACCCGAACTCAAGAGAAGGAAAGACAGACCTATAGTAAGAGCAGTTTTGTTGACTCAATCATCATCATCAATACGGGTTAGTTGCTGAGGGTGAGAAACCCACCTCAGTTAATGTACAGCAATGCAAAAAAATTACAAAAAAGTTACACTACAAAAAATTCAAAGGCAAGTAATATAATGTTAAATATTTCATCGTGTAATTCGCATAAGATCGGAACTGGAATAGAATATAAAAGGGAGGTAGATGGACAAAGAAACTCACAACACGAACGCCACTGGGGCCGGCTCCTAGCCATATCAGCAAGCGTGCCTAACCAAACGTGTTCATCGTCCGTAGGACCCGAGTCAGGTGGTCGGGATGCACCAAGCGACGCTAAATTCGAAGTGAGGGTTTCCATTTCTTTCGACCAGGTCATCGCTTGGTCTACCCTCTTCCTCTTACAACCGCACCTCCGGCGCGCAAACAATGCACGTCGCGAGGGTCTGTGTGCTTGCATGCGGAGCCTGGTGCGTGACATAAGGGCGCTGAGCGGTTCACTAACTCCTCCTGCACCAAATACGCGATGCCGAACATGCTCACTGCTCAAGCAGAGCTCTCACTAGACATGAGCTTCGCTGCGAAAGCAGCGAGGATCCCACGTGGCTACCCTCTTTGTCTGTCGATCTGATCCGCCAGGTTTCACAACCGTATAATAGGGTTGAACGGACGGCTGCATTGTAAACTCTGTCAGGGCGAGAGTGATGCCGCGTCTGCGCCACAGACGGCAGATCTTGGTAAAAGCACGTTGAGTTCTTGCCATAAGTTCCTTATCTCATCTTCGATCCCACGGGCACTAAAATAGCTGCCCAAGTACTTGAGTTCCTGAACAACTTCTACCTGATCACCACCAGGTGTCAGCGCAAGGCTAGGTTCCTGTAAACCTTGAAGAAGCACTTTGCATTTTGATAGAGCAAAGCACAGTCCAAAACGATTGACAGTCAGTACTACCCGGTGCAGTGCTGCTTGGCACGTTTGGCACCACCTTATAACAATGACTTGGTGACTCATTAAACACAGATACATGATTGCGCAACCTGTAATAGATGATATACGTGAATTTAACATAAAATGGTATACGTTTGAGTTGAACGCGAGGGAAGCGGTGGTGTAGCTTGCTGAACACGAGAGCGGCGGGTGGACTTGGCACGCGTGACATTGTGGGAACGTGCGTTCCCATAACATGATCCACACAATAGCCGACCGTATCAAAGCGTTGTGTGTACTGCTCTTGATATTCCACCACTTCCATAGAAAGCAAGAGCTACACAGGCTGCTTCATACGCGCAGTAACCAGCCCAGAGATGCAACCATAAGAGGTGATACAGCAGCCGAGGTAGGTGACCCGAGCAAACAGTTTGGGAGTCTGATTGGGGTGTTGGAGGGGTGAATTTGAGGCGCATGTTCTGTGAACGGATTGCGAAGGGTAATTTAGGCATGGCGGTTATTCACGTTGAAGTGAATTTCAGTCAATGTGGTCACTGGGAGCGTAAATGAAAGAAAAACGCTGTGTTGCCCTATGGTAAAACTGTACTCCAAAACCAGTTTCGTGCACGTTTGCACTCATCGGGTAAAGATTGTAGAAGTGCGCTTGAATCCATGGCCCCCGGGGAGATTCGATTGAGCGTTGCAACCTACTCACACCACGAGTGGTTCAAAATGACCTCCCGCCAAGCAGTCGCTAACAGTTGCGACCAGCGTTACCTACCGCGACATGGTGGCTTCGGAGTGTACAGATTTCGCAGATGACATCCTGCAGTTCTGCCTGAAGAGTGCAAACAAGTATGAAACCAGTCTTGGAGGAGCGCAGTGTGTTGCGAGCGGGAGCCACTACATAGCATCAAACTAATTCAACAGTCTATTCCAGGATGACCTAGTAGAAGCAGTCTGGATTCATTAATTGAGCCCAGACGATGGCCAGTGGGTTACCGCAGAATGGCATCTGTGAGCAGAACCTAAGCAACGGCAATAAAACCAATGCAGCGATGATTCGCGCATAAGGCTCTACGACCCAGTATAAGAATGGGTCCAACAGCTGCTAGTAGAGAGGCTGAGTGTGCCCCTTCGGTATGACGTATAATGTTGTGTAGAGCGGCTATAATAACAAGCCGTGAGTCACCGCTGTGCTTTAGCAGTGACGGGGGAAGGTGTCGGAAACAGACATCCTGTGTGATCTTAACGCAATACATGTTAAGGTGATTCAGCAAAGGATAGCAACGCAGTATGTTTGGTGAACTGTACAGAAGATGCGCGTCCAAATGCGTAGTCTAGGTGCCTGAGAATGAGCAAAGGTCCGTTGTTTCCAGCTGTTATAAGTTAAATAAGAGCTCTTGTCGACCAAAACTCCAAATGCGAAAGATCGGTCTCTTCTGTTTTCAATCGAACTGTTCTTCCTATCTCACTGATACTCGCCACCCACCAAGTTACGAGGACAATTCAAAGGCTTATAGTCAAAGGCCACTAATTGAGGTTACACACATCAACGCAACGGAACAAACTAATGCGCGGATATGGCTGGCTTGCTCGTGATGACAGCTGGGTGGTGCGGAAAAATCCTTTTCCAACCAACGGTTCGGCGACGGTGTTCCAGGACGTGATGGGTTTTCGCCTGGCAACCGTACTGTCTATAAAGAGCCACATATGTCCACCTAACAACAATGCGACGTGGCGGATGTGACGCGCCACTAAATAAAGTCACCGCCCCTTGCTTCGTTTCGGTGTAGCATTGTATTCCAGCACCTTATCGATGAAAGCGTGGGGGGATGGGGCCCCCGTTTCGTGACCGACCAAACAAAAGACGTATGAACTGAGCAATCAGTCACCGGCCGAAAGAATGTGATGCCCTGAATTCACATCGCTGCCTCGCGTGTGGGATATTTATCCAAAGGCTCCGGGTAGGGTCCGCTAAGTCAACATCTTACTTCGGTTTGGGGAACCGGGTATTATCACGCCTTCTCACAAACCATGGACTGTTCCACAATGTGGTCATTTACCACCCTTACTGCTCCCTACATTCATGCGACCTCAACACACGTCAATTGTTTATTTGCTAACAACCCTTACTATCCGTTACCCGTTTCCTGTGTACGAACATTTGGCTGCGATTCCGGTTGTGCCGCGAACCATGGAGTCCAAGCTATGGCTCTCCTTCGAACCGGATCCTCGTTCCTTATGGCAGACTGGACAGCAAGCAGGTCTGGCGCGCACCTATGGTTCATCGATAGCCACGTCTGCTGCCTTTTAGAAACTCAACGGCAATACTCCAGTACTCTGGAGTCAGATTTCACACGAGTCTTTATGGAGATCCAGAAGCAGCCTCAGCGGGCTTGGCTGGTGTAGGAAAAGCGCTGTGGCAACGCCGAGGCGGCACTACTGGACTGGTTCACGATTAATAGCCGACTGTGTGCAGTTTAGGTTCGGGGTTCAAGTAGAATCAACAAACGACGAGGGGAGGAAAGTGATGGCCCGAATCCTACCCAACTGCCTCGTCAGTCAGGTTGTGGAACCGAACGTGGTGGAAAAGCAATGTGGAGTTCCTTCGGATCGCAGCAGCATGGATATGGTGTTTGCGGCTCGTCAGTTGCAGGAGAAGTGCAGTGAACGACACCAGCCATTGTACTCGCAATGTTTGTTGATTTCACCAATGTATTCCATACAGTGAACCGCGAGGCATTGTGGCTGGTGTTGGGAATGTTTGGTTATCCGAGTAAGTTTGTAAGTTTAATTAAATGTCTGCACAGTGGCATGCGAGCGAGGGTGCAGATGAGTAGAGAGACCTCGGATGACTTTGCAGTTGTCACTGGTGTGAAGCAAGGCTGTGTCTTAGCTCCTGCCCTGTTTCATGTTTATCTTCATGCAATGATGTCTTGTGCATTTGATGCGGACTGTGCTTACGATGTTCGTGTGGAGCACCGTATTGATGGTGGGTTGCTGAACATCCGTCGTTTCGGTGCGAGAACTCTAGTCTGTGAGACAACTACCTGTATGTTGCTGTTTGCTGACGACTGTGCGTTGTTTTCACACAGCGCGGATGAGTTGCAGCACATGACTAGTGCTCTGGCTTCGACAGCGGCCAAATTCGGGCTCACCATCAACACAAGCAAGAGTAGTTGTTTTTTCCAGCCACCATGCGGAATGGAACACGTGGGCCAGCCACAAACCCAGGTTGCCAACGAAGTGTTGGAAACCACTCTGAGATTTTGCTACTTAGGAAACGTGGCAACAACCGACTAAATGACTATCGAGCTGCGCAACCGCGTATCGAAGGCGGCTACTAGATGTGACAAGCTGGGATATCGTTTGTGAAACAAACACCAGCTCACTGTCGGGATGAAGTTGCGGGTATACAAGTCTATAATGTTGTCCATATTCCTTAACGGCAACGAAACCTGGACGCTTTATCAGAAGAATTTCCGTCATCTGGAGCAATTCCATCAACAGTGTCTGCGTCGTATTATGCGCGTTGACTGAAGTGACCGAGTTGCAGACACGGAGGTGCTCCGACGCAGTGGCATGTACGCAGTGCACTGCATAATTCAGCTGAGGCACCTGAGATGGCTTGGACATATTCGCCGCATTGATTCGGCTCGGATACCGAAACAGCTGCTTTATGGCCAAATGCGTGCAGGGAAGCGGCACGTGGGAAAACCGAAGTTACGTTACCAGGACATGATCAAGGTAGGCCTAGCACGTTCTACGCTGGATTTCAGTTGTTGGGAATCGAAGACGGTTGATCGGCGTGCATGGCGCGATCTGATCACGAAGACAATTGCCGAGATGCAAGAAAAAGCCCTCGTGCATGCAGAGAAGAAGTGGCAGTTGCGGAAGCGACAGGAGCCGATGGGTTGTACTCCATCGGCACCGAGCGCAAGGTGCTGTAGCACACGCAGTTGCGAATGCCTGAGCCAGGCAGGCCCAGAGAGCAACGATCGAAGCCGCTCGGGGCCAGCATCCAAACAAAGACGAGTACTGAATACTGTATTATAGAGCAAGTAGAAATGAGTTTCGTACAACTCGAAATATCGTGAAAAACGTTAGAAAAATTGTCAGCTGTAAATATCGTTATCGCGCGCATGACATTTAAAATATCTGACTTATGGTAATGCAGGACACACAAAGGTGAGATGTCATCGTAAGTGTGCAATCGTTCTCTGAATCGAATAGTGCTAAAAGATAAAACTAACAAGGTTTTGAACTGCTGCACAGATGTTGCCTCCATCACCTGTTCAGGCAAACTATTCCAACTATCTACCACTCTCTGTTCGAAGCACAGTGGATGAGGAACAGGTTTCACATCCAGCACGACAAGTTTGTATCTTTGTCTGTGTGCGCTGCATGGCCCTCGTAAGCGCAACATTGGCCACAGCATAGGAAAGTCACCGAGATGTAGAATACGGTAGGTCATAATAAGATCGACTCGCACTCGACGGTAGGACAAGGTGTAGAGTGTTAATTTCTCCAGCCAAAATTCATACCCCAAGCCGCGTAAAATTGGGATGAGCCTGGTAGCAACGCGTTGGACCCCTTTTGATCTTTTGTGCCTCGCCCCGGGTAATCGGAAAGTAGGCGGGCGAACCGTACTCTAGCATTGGTCTAATGATAGAAGTGAACAGGCGGGTGGCAATCTCTTCAGACCATGTGCCGAAGCTACGTTTGAGCGCCCAAAGCATGCGCAGTCCGTTACGACATAGCCTGTTCGTGTTGTGCATAGACTTCAAAACGCAGCGCAAGAGTATACCTAGGTCCTTCACGGTGGGTGTGGGATCTAGTTGCTGGCCGTCAAGGGTGCAAATTCAGCCGTCAGCAACCTTCCCCAGCATCAAACTGCAGACTTGGCTGGGTTGAACGCGAGATGAACTTCTGCAGACCATGTGGATAGGCGCCACAGTCGTCGGGAGCATCAATTTGTCGCCAAATGTTTATGTAATCCGCAAACAAGGCACACAACGACCGGAGAAGTTGAGGTAGATCGTTAATGTGGATCAGGAACAGAGTGGGCTCCAGCATAGCGCTTTGAGGCACGCCACTTGTAGAGGAATACCAGTCAGTTATATGGTCGTCGACGTGTACCCCCACTTTTGTCGAACAAGAAAGTCGCGGATACACCGGTGCAGTGAAAAAAGTCATGGTTGTATGTGGCCTGAGATACTGTCAGGGCGC